AAAGCAACACCGATTGCTGTTCTTGACAAGCAAAGCATGGAGAGCCAAGGACTTGTTGGAGCTAATTCATACAGATGTTTGTGGACCGATGATGACACCATCACACACCAACAACAGGTATTTGATCCTCTTCATTGATGACTTTTCTAGGATGACATGGGTCTATTGTCTGAAGACAAAGTCAGAAGTCTTTGGAATATTTAAGAAATTCAAGGCCCTTGTCGAAAAGAAAAGTGGAAAACAAATAAAAGTACTTAGAAGTGATAATGGAAAGGAGTATACATCTCGCGAGTTTGACAAATTTTTCGAAGATGAAGACATAGAGCAACAACTTACAGTCGCATATACTCTACGAAAAAATGGTGTGTCAGAGAGAAAAAATCGCACAGTCATGGAGATGGCGAGATCGATGTTGAAGGAGAAAGGACTACCAAATACATTCTGGGCTGAAGCAGTCTACACAACAGTCTACCTACTCAATAGATGTCCTACTAAGGCAGTTCGGGACAAGACTCCAATAGAAGCTTAGAGCGGGAAGAAGCCATAAACTAAGCACCTAAGGGTCTTTGGATCTATCTGCTACATTCATGTGCCAGATGAAAAAAGGCATAAGTTAGAAGACAAGACCGTATGAGGCATATTCTTAGGATACAGTTCACAATCAAAAGGCTACCGAGTCTACAATCTTCAGACAAAGAAGCTAACAATCAGTAGAGATATTGAAGTAGATGAAAATGCTACTTGGAACTGGGAAGAAGAGCGAATTGAGAAGAAGACTATGTACATGCCCATCAATCAACCAACTACATCAAGTCTGGAAGACAACAATCAAGACATTGTTATCTCTCCAGAATCTCCAAGAATAGTTCCACAACAAGAAGAATCATCACTTGAGTCTACTCCGAGACGAGTTAGATCACTGATAGATATATATGAAACTTGCAACTTGGCCATACTTGAACCAGGAAGCTTTGAAGAGCCAGCAAACCAAGAAGTATGGGTTAAGGCTATGGAAGAAGAAATTAAAATGATTGAGAAGAATAATACATGGGAGCTCATAGATTGCCCTCATGGAAAAGATATCATTGGAGTAAAATGAGTATATAAAACAAAGCTTAATCTTGATGGAACTATACAAAAGCACAAAGCAAGATTGGTCGCTAACAACAACTAGGAGTGGACTACAATGAGACATTTGCTCAAGTCGCACGCCTAGACACAATAAGAGCTTTAATAGCTCTTGCAGCACATAAAGGATAGAACATCTATCAACTGGATGTCAAGTCTGCATTCCTCAATGGCGTACTCAAAGAAGAGATCTATGTGGAGCAACCACACCAGGATTCGTGATTAAAGGCCATGAAGGCAAAGTGTTGAGATTGAAGAAAGTTTTATATGGCCTGAAGCAAGCTCCTCGAGCATGGTATAGCAAGATCGACTAGTACTTCACTGATCATGGATTCAGGTGGAGTAAGAGTGAGCCTACACTATACATCAAGACTCAAGGTCAGCATACTCTCTTACTCTCTCTATATGTAGATGATCTTATTTATATTGGAACCAATACAAATATGATGATGGAGTTTAAAGAAGACATGATGAAGACCTTTGAGATGACTGATCTTGGCTTTGAGTTACTTCCTCGGTATAGAGGTAAGTCAGAGAAATGATGGAATATTCATCTCACAAAAGAAATATATAGAAGTTTTACTGAAGAAATTTAATATGTACGGATGCAAACCTGTAAGTACACTGCTAGTGACGAATGAGAAACTACAAAAGGTGGATGGAGAACCAGAAGCTGATGCATCCAGATACATGAGTCTAGTCGGAAGTCTTCTATATCTCACAGCCACAAGACCAGACATTATGTATGCCACAACTCTTTTATCAAGATTCATGCAAAAGCCAAGTCAAATTCACTATGGAACAGGAAAAAGAATATTGAGATACCTACAAGGGACAAGGGAGTTTGTTATATGGTATAAAACCATGACCAAATCAAGGATGATTGGCTATACCGACAGTGATTGGACAGGATCAATAGATGACATGAAGAGTACATCAGGATATGCCTTCTCACTAGGATCTGGTTTTTTCTCTTGGGCGTCAAAGAAGCAAGCAAAAGTTGCACAATCAACAACAGAAGCAGAGTACATAGCAGCTGCTGAAACTACAAGTCAAGCGATATGGCTATGGAGAATACTTGAAGAAATGAGTGAACAACAAGATAGACCGACTGTTATATACTGTGACAACAGATCAACAATAACAATGAAAAAGAATCCAATTCATCATCAAAGAACGAAACACATAGCCATCAAATATCACTTCATCAGAGAAGCAGAGACAACTAAGCAAATTCAACTTGAATATTGCTCAACAGAAGATCAAGTTGCACACATATTTACAAAGGCACTACCAAGAGCGAAGTTTGAGCAACTACGGACTATGCTTGGAGTTATCGAAATTTGCATCAAGGAGGAGTGTTAAATTATGATGCAAATTCTAGAAAAGAAAATTCTAGAAACATAAGATAAGATGTATAAGAGAAAAAGAAAATTCTAGAAACATAAGAAAAGTTGTATAAGTCTCTAGAAAAACCTAAAAGAGTGTAGAGACTTGTAGAGTCTAGAAAATTCTAGATAATTCCACCATCATCTAGAGATGGAGCATCATGCCTATAAATAGACAAATTGGGACTTCATTGTAACAACAACAACAACAATTTCCACCACTACTACTACTCTCTAAGTACAAATAAGTTTCTATTATTCCACCAACTATTCCCTTGACAACTATCATATACTAACAAATTCTATCATTAATTCTTCAACTTTCAAATGCTCACAATGAATTCATCCGAAACATTTGTTTCCACGCCTCTAACATGTGATACATAATCTTTTAAATTCTAAGATTGTAGATTATAAGTCGAACGCTTAACCATACAAATCAACTTGTAAGGTAAGTGTTGCCCCAACTTATATACTCTTTAATTATTTTATTTTCAATCGATGTGAGACTTAAAGTTTTTTTTTTTAAATATTAAACTTATAAATTTAAATATTTTTTTGATTTTTCTTGCAAATTAAAACTGGTAGGAAAATTCGTAGAAAAAGTTATCTGCGAAATTTTTCTACCATTTAGTAAATTTTACTTGTGAATTTATTTTTGCAAGAAACAAAATAAAATTCTTACAATATTTTCTACAAATTTTTACCATGGAAAAAAATTTCTATGATCATTGAAATTGTAGCAAAATTTGCAAAAAATTCTTATAAATTATTTTTCATAAAAAATTTATAAGAAATATCTGTAAATTATTTTTTACAAAAAAATTCATAAAATTTTTTTGTAAAATTATTATTGCAAAAAAATTCGCAAAAATTTTTTGTGAATATATATTTTATAAAAAATTTCGCAGAAAAATAATACCTCTTTTAATAGTGATTGATACTCTCGCTGATGATGTTGAACAAAAGCAGTTCATTATAGTCAATTAAGTGAATTAGTACAAAAGCAGTTTTTTCTTCTAGTTTCTTTTGCATTGTTTAGAAGTCTAGGGTAGTTAGGTTCCATTCAACTAACCTGCCTAAATTTGATCTACTAAAGACTAAAGACGTACTTAATCTTGCACGTACTAAACTTGGTTAAATATTTCATTATAGTCGATTAAGTGAATTAGTAAAAAGATGGATGTTAATACATCAAATAAATTTGCATGCATATTATTTGATTCAGAATAGCTATAGGAATCTTTCAATATATATATATCTATAGGAAATCCTATCAAGTCAGAATATCCAAGCAGTTGAATATTATAATCACCATAGATAAATTTGATCTCAGGGTTGTTATATTGAAAATTTGGAAATGAAAAATGTTACCAACACACTCTTTTCTTATTGTCTGAAATTTGTTAAAAATCACAAATAATACTAGAAAAATGTCATTTTTTTTTATAAATTTTCCTACAAAAAAATATTTGTAGAAATTTTTTACGAATTTTCTTACAAAAAAATATTCGCATAAATTTTTTGCGAATTTTCCTGCAAAAAAATATTCATAGAAATTTTTTGCGTATTTGCGAAAAATAATTTACAGATATTTTTTACAAATTTTGCTACAATTTTAATAATCATAGAAATTTTTTTTCATGGTAAAAATTTGCAAAAAATATTGTAAGAATTTTATTTTGTTTCTTGCAGATTTTCTTGCAAAAATAAATTCGCAAGTAATATTTACTAAATGGTAAAAAAATTTTGCAGGTAACTTTTCCTGCAAATTTTAATTCGTAAGAAAAATAAAAAAATATATATTTAAATTTATAAGTTTAATATTTTAAAAAAACTTCAAGTCCCACATCGATTGAAAATAAAACAATTAAAGAGTATATAAGTTGGGGCAACACTTACCTTACAAGTTGATTTGAATGAATTCATTGTGAGTATTTGAAAGTTAAAAAATTATTGATAGAATTTATAGTAATTTCTTTATTTTTTTCGTAAAAAATAAAGAAATTTTTCCGAATTTTTTTGCAGGAAACTTTCCTGCAAATTTTTTTCGCAAGAAATTTCGCAAAATTTCCTGCGAATTTTAAAATTCGCAAAAAAATATTATCCACGAAGGTATTACCTGTAAATAAAATTTCGGAAGAAAATTTGCAGGAATAACGTTTTCTGCAAATTTTTATGAAAAATTCGCAGGAAAAGTCGCATGTAATAAGAGAAATTCTAGTAGTAAAAAATGAGTTCTAGTCTATATTTAATTATTTTCTCTTAATTTTGTAGTTTTCAAGAAATTTAACTCATTAAAAAAAAAGTTTTAATAACACTCCTCTTTTGAGAAAAATACCAATTCAGATGACAGAAGTGATTTATTTATTCCCCCTTTTTTTTTTTTTTTTTTTTTTTTTTTCCTATGTTTCCAAATATAAAAGCAAAATCATGCTTAATTTGACTCTAACTCAATTAGGGGATGCCGTGAAGAAATTTCTTACATTGTTATTGGTTGACTGACAATCAAAGAAAAAGATATTATCCATCCTTTAAAAAAGCCATCCTTCTTCATTAGCTCAAGATGCATGCACTTCAAATTACTCATTTCCATTAATCCACTAGCTTTCCTATTCCTAACATGGCAGAAATATTGGTAGGCAGTGCTTTTCTTTCTGCTTTTCTTGAGGTTGTATTTAACAGGCTGGCTTCTCGTCAAGTTTTAGACTTCTTTCATGGAAGGAAACTTGATGAGAAGCTTCTGAACAAGTTGAAGGTGAAGTTGCGATCCATCAATGCTGTGGTTGATGATGCAGAACTTAAGCAGATTGAAAATCAACTTGTCAGAGACTGGCTTTTTGATGTCAAAGATGCTGTGCATGATGCAGAGGATCTCTTGGACGAAATAGACTATGAACTCTCCAAATACCAAGTGGAAGATGAATCTGAATCTCAAACCTTTACTCACAAGGTATCAAATTTATTCAATGTTACTTTCAGTTCACTTAACAGAAAAATTGACTCAGGGATGAAACAAGTCCTTGAGAAACTAGAAGATCTTGTGAACCAAAAGGATGATCTTGGTTTGAAAGAGGTTACATATTCTGGTGTTGGATCAGGTAATAAAGTTCCACTGAAATTGGAGTCAACATCTTTGGTTGTTGAAAGTTTTTTTTATGGTAGAGATGACGAGAAAGAAATGATCTTTGATTGGCTGACATCTGAAATTGACAGTCATAACCAGCTATCAATATTTTCTATTGTGGGCATGGGTGGAGTGGGTAAGACCACGCTGGCACAACATGTATACAATGACCCACGGATGGAAGAGACTAAATTTGATATCAAAGCTTGGGTCTGTGTTTCAGATGATTTTGATGTTTTGACAGTGACAAGAACAATTCTTGAAGCATTCACTGGATTAAAATATGACAATGGAAAACTAGAAATGGTTCATAGAAGATTGAAAATAGAACTGACAGGGAAGAAATTTCTTCTCGTTTTGGATGATGTATGGAACGAGAGACGAGAGAATTGGGAAGTTTTACAAACTCCTCTTAATTTTGGGGCTCCAGGGAGTAGAATTCTTGTTACAACACGCAGTGAGAAAGTTGCTTCTGCCATGCGGTCTCATAAAGTTTATCACCTAAAGCAATTACAAGAAGAACATAGCTGGCAAGTTTTTGCCAAACATGCATTCCTAGATGGTTATCCTCAGTTGAATGATGAGATGAAGGAGATTGGTGCACTAATAGTTAAAAAGTGCAAAGGATTGCCACTGGCCTTGAAATCAATTGGAAGTCTTTTACATAAGAAATCTATTTCAGAATGGGAAAGTGTATCACTAAGCAAGATATGGGACTTACGGAAAGAAGATAGTGAAATTATCCCTGCCCTATTTTTGAGCTATCACCACCTTCCGTCTCATCTCAAAAGGTGCTTTGCTTATTGTGCATTATTTCCCAAAGATTACAAATTTGACAAGGAGGGTTTAATTCAATTGTGGATGGCTGAAAATTTTCTACAATGTCTTCAAGAGAGCAAGAGTCCAGAAGAAGTCGGTGAACAATACTTTGATGATCTATTATCAAGATCTTTCTTTCAACGGTCAAGCAAATCAGAAATTTTTGTCATGCATGACCTTCTAAATGATTTGGCAAAATATGCATGTGGGGACATCTGTTTTAGGTTGGGAATTGATAAAGCAGAAAGTATACCAAAAACAACCCGTCATTTTTCATTTGGATTCAATGACCTTCGATCTTTCGATTGGTTTGAAAGTTCATATTATGCTGCTAAAAGGTTGCATACATTTATTCTAATGCAGGAGGTAGGGTTTTTTTTCTTTGATTGGGGGTGCATGATTTCAATACATGACTTGTTCTCCAGGTTTAAATCTTTACGCATCTTATCTTTGTCCCACTGTTTTAACCTTAGAGATGTTCCGGACTCTCTAGGCAAACTTAAACATCTTCGTTCATTAGACCTTTCAAGTACTGACATAAAAAAACTACCCAATTCAACTTGTTTGCTCTATAACTTGCAAATTTTGAAGTTGAACAATTGTCTCAGTTTGGAGGAGCTTCCCACAAAGTTGCATAACCTTACTAATTTGCGTCGCCTTGAATTTGCAAATACACAAGTGCAGAAGACGCCGAAGCATTTGGGAAGACTGAAGAATCTTCAAGTATTGAGTTCGTTTTGTGTTGGCAAAAGTAGTGACCTCAGTATTAAGCAGTTAGGAGGACTCAATCTTCATGGAGGTCTGTCAATTGAGGAGTTGCAAAATATTGTGGATCCCTCGGATGCATTAGCAGTGAATTTTAAAAATAAAACTCACCTTGTGGAGCTAAAGTTAGAATGGAATTCAAACCGGATCCCTGATGATCCAAAGAAAGAAAAGGAAATAGTTCAGAATCTACAACCTTCGAAACACTTGAAGGATTTGTCGATCTATAGCTATGGTGGTACACAATTTCCAAGTTGGTTATCAAATGTGAATGTAGTGTCCTTACGGTTGGTGCATTGTAAATATTGCCTAGTGTTGCCTCCCTTTGGTGTTTTGCCATTTCTCAACAAGTTGACGATTATAGGGCTTGATGGGATAGTAAGTATTGGTGCTGAATTTTATGGGAGTAGCTCTTCTTCATTTCCATCCTTAGAAACATTGCAGTTCTTGGATATGAAGGAATGGGAAGAATGGGAATGTCAAGCTGCTGCTTTTCCACGTCTTCAATTTCTTGTTGTAGTGGATTGTCCCAAGCTGAAAGGTCTTCCAGTTCAACTTCTTCACGTAAAAAATGTAGAAATTCGTGAATGTGGAAGGCTCAAAATTAGTGAACAAAACATGGAAGCATTGTCGCCAGAAAGGTTTCAGCAAACAGTATCTAATACATCTCTTGAAGTGTTGCGCATTTATGACTGCCCAAATATGAATATTCCCATGAGATGTTGCTACGATTTCCTAGTAACATTGGTGATCTCAGCTTCCCACTCTCTAACGACCTTTCCACTAGAAGTGTTTCCAAAACTCCATTCACTTGAACTTTGGCACTGTTGTAATTTTCAAATAATTTCACAGGAACACACTTGTAATAATCTCAAGAATCTGAAAATTAATGACTGCCCCAAATTTGAATCATTTCCTAGTGAAGGATTATCCGCACCCTTGCTAGCGAAACTTAGTATTTGGAAATCTAAGAATCTGAAATTATTGCCTAAACGCATGCATACCCTTCTTCCATCTCTTACTGAGCTTGAGATAGATGATTGTCCAGAAGTGAAGATGTTCTCAGATGGAGGTTTGCCATCAAATCTGAAAAGAATGGATCTCTTAAATTGCTCCAAACTTATTGCCTCACTGAAAGGTTCTTTGGGAGCCAACACCTCTCTAGAAATCTTGTCTATTCAGAAGGTTGATGTGGAGTCTTTTCCCGATGAAGGTTTTCTGCCACTCTCTCTTACTTCTCTACAAATACATGAGTGTCCAGATCTTAAAAAACTGAACTACAAGGGTCTCAGCCACCTCTCCTCTCTCAAGGAATTGAATATTTATTTCTGCCCCAACCTCCAATGCTTACCAAAGGAAGGTCTTCCCATTTCCATTTCAACCCTTCAAATTCTGTATTGTCCATTGCTCAAACAGCGTTGCCAGAAACCAGAAGGTGAAGATTGGGAAAAGATTGCTCTCATTAAAAACAGGAATATTTTCTAGTAAGATGCACCACAACCACAAGTTTGAAATTACACATGCAACAATTCTCATATTTTGCCTCTTCATCAGGTGCCAATTCTCCCCTAATATCTTAGCAGATTTTCAAATACAATCTTGTTTATTGCAAATATTTCACTCCCTAGTTAACATTTACCAAACAACATCAACACAAATTACACCTAAATTAATATTTGTTAAAGGTGGATGGCTGGCTCAGCCACTTTCATCATGCATCAAATTGATTTTATTAGTCTGTTTTAAATGCTATAATTTCTATTATCAATATCCACTATTGAAATTGAATTCCAACCAAATGTGTTTCTTGTATTTAGGACACTAGGACAAATGTGAAGGCAGGGAAGCGGAAAAGTTTTGGAACGTGGCATCCATATTACGTAAGTATTATAGGGAGTTTTGGGGTAAATTTGTTTTGTTGCTCACTCTTCCTTCTTTCTTCTTAGTTCACATTTCTAACATTATGTTATAGAAGTTTTTGAGAAGAAAAAAAATGAACTAAATCTTCATAAGTAGACAACTGAAACTGGAAGAAAAATGACCCAAAAAAACCCATTATTAAGACCACTAGTTATGTTCTTGATTAGTTAATGAAGTTTATTCTGTTTAGATGACTGTGTTGGGGATAAATATGTATACGCAAGACCCAATCAACCATGTTATTAATTTTAGTTTTAATAAAGTATTGTTCATTATTTTATTAAAATCAAAGTGTACTTTCAGTGAGGTTTCTCAATTCACTGAAACCATGCAACGTTGCCACCACTGATTTCAGATGCTTTTTAATGTTTTTAAAGGATTTATTTCTCCTGATTCCATGTGCCTGAATATATCTTCGTTGGTTGTGGAATGCTTCATAAAACATTATCAAGTATCTACTTAACTTTGATATAAAATTCACCTAAGTATTCTATATACGTTTAATCAGAATAAAGCTGATCATATGTAGCTACAGAACATTTGAATGAAATTTGTTTGATTTCTCACATGTTTCAATCTAAACGTGCAGCTCTATAAAATTCTTATGCTAATGTTTCCATTATGTGTCTTCTGGTTTCTTGTGCCTCTTGATTTTAAATTAATGATTAGTTGAAAGCCGTGATCCTGTGCTAATCTTACTATCTGTTTTACAGTATCCCTTTCTATATCTAGAGGGAGTAGGGGACATTCTATTAAGCGGGCCCTGGATTCTCGGCTGAATGCTGTACGGAGTCCTTATTTCTTTAGTGATCTTCTTCTTGACCATCAATTCTGTCTTGCTTTTGTGGAAGTAAGTGCTCCATGTGGTCTATATTGGCTGGTTACTCTTTTAGATGTAGTCTATGTGCTTCTACCCTATTTCTCATATAGGTCATTCAAAGTTGGTCTCTACCAAAGTACCATGCTATTATACACAGAAAACAAGTAGAAAGGCTTAAAATTGGCCTATCTGATGATGAGTTTCAAGTCCAAGGCAAACTACTACATCTGAGAGAGAGAGAGATTGAAGCAACCGGAGTTGTGAAATGTAAAATTTTTCTAGGCATACATTCTTAGAACTTTAAATTGTATTTGGTTTCTTGCTGAGTTGGGAAGTGACATTGAAGTAGTGAGCATTGCATAGAGCTTTTTTTATTTATTATTTATTTATTTATTTATTTATTTTTTACTTTTCTTTCTTCGGTTTCCATTTGTTTATAAGATTGCAAAGGCAGGACTTGTGTAGCAGTCACCTGATGTTGATAGGCTATGTAAAGATTTTGTAATTGTTGTAACAAAAATGGCCCTTGTATTTGCTAATGGAAAAAGCATTAGATATCTTGCAATAAATTTTCTGTATGATATTTATTACCTGATGGAAGCTTCATAAACAACATTTAAAACATAATGCACGTTTCACTCTCTGTGTACTGGGGTCATGATATAGTAATGTCAAAATTATAATTGACTAAGCATACTTAACAGGCTTAATTACCTCATTATTATCAATTAAGTGGATAAAAGAGGGATATATATATATATATATATATATATATATATATTTTTTTTTTATCACAGTGAATAAGGGAAGGATATTTTTTTTTTTGATTCATCAATTACAATGATAACACCATGTTCGAACATAGATTCTATGCCAACCTTTACCACTAGTGATCCTAATGGTTATAGGGAAGGATATAAATACATTCAACAAATTTTCATGCATATATTATATTTGATTAAAAAAAAATTTTTATTTTAAATATTATCAAATCAGAAATTGGTGATACTCGGATATTTTATTAGTTTAGTAGAAAAATTACATAGGCTTAATTAAAGACTTCGAGATATTTTCAAATGTTAACTTACAATCAAATGGTGTTATAATTATTATTTGGAGTTGCATATAAATCTATAAAGCGAAATATCAAATAATTTTTAAATTTTGTAAAAGTTTATAAAATTGATCTACTCAATAAAAATTTGTTAAAATTCAATATACTTCATGAGTTATTAAATAAAGTAACTCTTCAAAGAGTAAGTAGATTCTCCTCATATATATATATATATAGAAAGATATAATAATACTCCTTGCTTTTTATATGTGTTTAAATATTCAAAATATATCTACTAACATTTTTTTGTAAAATTAAAATATAATATACTTTACTCATAATTATAATATTTATCTTATTTTTAATGAGATACAAGTCTCTCAATTTGGATGAGGTGCAATGTTGAAGGATCTATGTGGTTTGGAGAGAAAGTGACTTACAACCCATGTTGTGAACGGTTGTGTTGTCATAAACACTCAAGTGATTGGTTGACTGGCCATTAAACCTCTTTAGATCGATCCAGATTTCGTTCACACATTCACGCATTTAAGTATTCAAAAACTGTTACATGTTTTAATATTTTGTTTTACATGCACAAATTTCTAATATTGGTTCACATTATTGAAAATGAATGCCTGCCAAATGTTTTTCTTATAATTAGGACCCAAGGAAAATAGCGAAGGCAGTGAAGTGCAAAACTTCTGGCATGTGGCATCCATTTTGTAAGTTAAAGAGTACTATGTTATTAAGAGTATTGGGGTAAATTTTGTTAGGGTTATTGGATTTGTATTTGTATGAGAGGAATATATATTTATAAGAGGGATATTATATTTTGTTGTGCAACAAGTATTCGGAGATATTTTGTATCTGTTTGAGGAGATACTTTTTTTCAATTTTGTTGTTTATTAAGTATTTACGCACACATCTCTACATATTGGTATTGATATTGTCCATTTTGAATTTTATACCCTCCTGATTTTACTTTTGGTCATCACTAAGGTCTCTTATAAATAGAGTATATGTATACTTTATAAACTTTTATTTCTCATCTTATTATAATGTTGTGGGATCTTGTTTGTATTTTACATTCTTTTTAGTTTACACTTCTTTCATTATTTTAAGGAAGTTTCTGATAAAAAAAAAAGTGAACTCAAGCTTCATAAATAGACTACTGAAACTGCAGGAAAATGACCCAAAAAAATTCAGATATTAACATCACAAGATATTGACCACTCTTGATTCTCCACTATTATAGATCTTTGGTACAGGAATTTCTTAGGAAAGCATTAAGAAGCAAATTTGAGAGGGAATATTGCAAAACCAAATCTTCGAAACAAAGTTCTAATACAAAAAAAGAAAGTTCTTCTGATCCTGTTTTACTGGATAGTTGATGGGATGTCCTTGGATTATTCTCCTAACAAGGTTTTGCGAAGGTCTTTCTCTGATCTGGCAATTAATTGTGCTTCTGTCATATGTTGCCATTCTTCTCGCAAACAAAAAGATAAAGTATTATGGGTGTGCAATTTTAATTTGTATGTGATATAAATAACAGATATTCTTTGTATCTAGATATAGTCGACTAAGTTGTTGCGTATTACTTTTTTAATATGTGAAGCTTCTGTACTAATTTTAGACATAACTCTGTTACCTAATCATATTGGCAATTTGGCATTATTGATTCTCCCCTGCATTTTCTAGAACCTTTTTCTTTCTGCATGTACATGTCAATGGATGTATGATAAACTAATCATCAATAAGGTTTTAATGAGTGTATTCCAGCTTCTGATTTCTTTTCTCAAAAATAATATTTGTTGTCTACAGATAGTAAAACAAGTAATTTTTCGAAGGCTCAATTCTGTTTTCTGGAGCGTTTGTTGTTGGTACTTTGAAAGTGGTGATGGTGTTATAGGTGAATATCGACGGTCTTATACCTTGCATCCATCTTGTTCTCAAAGTTTTTCTACTAAAGATTTAATGTTCACCCACACATATATTTCTATCACTCTACACATATTGTTGTTCTCCTTTAATTTTCCTTATCCTTTTATAAGATTGTGCTCCTTACAAATGAAGACAAGGGACTTGAATGAGAGAATTATTTGTGAGGATTAAAAAGAGAAAAGATAAATATAATGAAGTCAAGACACTTATAATAATTAGCATATCTTCATGATGTAGGCAGTGCAAATTGGATGACACAGAAAATAAATGAGTGGAAGTTGCACCAAAGTACACATCACTCCATGTAACTGAAGCCTCAGTTGATCCTCAAAAGTCCTACTGTGCTTCATTTGTAATAGCCTTTTTCCTTTGTGTACTTTTGGCTTCCATTGGGTTTCAGTTGACTTCTGTTGTTTTATTTTATTTTTCCTTCAAAGTGAGAACTTATTTGATCTATATATACTCCTATTAACAAATACTAATAACATTTTGACAGGTATATTGCCTCATTTGGATTTATTGAGGGAAGTTGGAAATGGGTTGTAGGTTTTCTATTTGTGTCTATTGTCACAGTTCCCCTGGCATCCATATTGGTGGGAAGCATTACTTTCTGATATAAAGCATATTGCAGTGCAACAAATCAGGAAGTAGGAATTAGTTCTTTACATCTTTCAATCTGGTTACAAAATGTTTATTCTACATCTGTTAAAGTAACCTGTTCTGTTGACAGAAAATCTGACTGAGGATTGTATCATCACAGTCATGCTATAATGCATATTGGGTAATTTGCATTCTTGTGTTCTTTATACCAATGAATGGCATGCTCATTATTTTGGTTCTCATTTAAGCTTTGAATGTCTCTGGTTATAACTGTTATTTTTTTCCTTCAGACCAAATCTGCTCAACCATTTCTAAATGTTTGAGCGGATTTTCTTTGCAACAAATTCTTGCTCTGTGTCTCTGATTTGTAGAGTAGGCTTAGCAATTTTGTAAATTTTGAAGGCCTTGAAACTTAATTAAATCTGCATGAAAAATAAGGGTTTATTAGTTCAAAATCTATCAACTCTTCACAAACTAACCTATTTACACATCTTTTTATTCTTACAATATTTTAGTGTTTAAAAACTTAACTTCCTTTTAAAACTAGGTTTTTTTAGAGGCCCTTTAAAACTAGTTAAATAAGTGTCAAATGAGTTAATATTCTAAGTAAAAATGATACTTATTAACATCTCATATAAAAAAATAAAAAAAATCTCATTTCTTTAAAATGTAAAATATTTTTGGAGAACAAATATTATTTGAGTTAGGTTGTTACTTTTCTTTAGCAATCTTTTTTCTATTATATACTTATCATTTGTAAAGGGAAAAAATGTCGATGAACCATTTGTGTAACGATCTTATAGGTCACTACACTTGATACGATATAGCTACAACATAGTGAAAAGCATAGACATCTACTAGCATAGGGTTATCATGCAAACAATACCTGAATATTCATGCAATAATTATATGTATAGGATACAAAAAATTTCCTTGACAATTTAACTTGAAAATATAAATCCTTTTATGGGGTTACAACAAAACACTAGCACTGGTCAAGCACGTGTCTCCATATACATGTTGTATCAAAATAGTTCAACAAAACAAAGGTGTCATCTCCAACATAACCATCCACAAAGCACACCCTCAAACATAATTTTACTTGCTCTCATATCAAGTATGGTCATAGTAGTCAACACATGAAAAAACAAGGGTAAGCTTGTGAAAGAAAATAACATATCATAAACGATCAACTTAAATCAACACAACAACTTTACAACTTAAAAACATTTTATTTTTATCAATAAATGCCTATTAAGAGTTAATAATGACAGTACTTGTTTTTATTTATGGTATGTCTAGTTGGTGCTAAATTATTATTTCTAATATTATATTAAATGCTCATTTTATAGTTAACATATTTAATCATATTGTAAGAAAATTGTTATTCATGCATGTAACAAACTATCAAAGTAAACCGTTTATCAAAGTTTAAAAGATTAGCTTTATTATCCATTCTTTTTATTCGATTAGTAATGTTGTTACGTGATATTATGAATTCACACAAGCTACATTAATCAAATAATTATTATATCCTTGTCCAATCACATAGTTAGATGGTTGTTGGAGATAGTCGAGAAATATGATTTTCGACAACGAGAAAAAACGTAGAAGGGAAAAAAAATCTTATTAAATCAATCAATCCATAAAAAAGTTTAAATAGAAACTCTAAAATAAAGAATCACTAAACTTCATCAAAGAAATTGAGAAAAATAAAAATATTTTAAACTCATCGAAGGAAATAATATAATTTTTTTGCATTATACGTGGCAGTGAAGTTAAAAATAAATGTTTAAACCCATCAAACGCAAATATATTTGTGTGACTGTATGCCTTATAAAGGAGAAATTAAAATACATGAACAAAATGTAAGTATAAAATAAACATAGAGAATGAAGATGAAAACAAAATGAATAGAAAAATTGAAAATAAAGAAAACTGAGAGAATAAGTAAGAAGAAAAATAAGAAAGGAAAAAGAAA